CATAACCACCAAAACCGCAAAAGAATAAAAAGCGAAGTGTAAGTAATAAAAGGAAGCCTACTCAACCGCCGGTGGTCGATCTGCCTCCAGGGTCTGGCTCGCCGCACCCGAACAACTCACCGCCGCTGACGGTAAGCTCATGGGCGGACGTAACAACTAGGCTAATGCAAAAGTGGCCTAAAACCATAGCAGCTCTTCAACCTTCTCTAGAAGAGAGTTAAAAGAAGAAAAAGTGCAACCGACGCTGCCTTATTACGTCGCTTGATGACGTCAATTTAATGGGGAATCGACTTCGTACGCCAAAAGCAAGCTATGAAATGGTTTTGCTACTCGAGATTACGGGACTTGACTGTAACTCAAAGGTGTACAAGCTGGCAGCGAAATTGTGCGAGGTTTCTCTGATATTAACGTACAAATAAGTTATCCAATTAGAATGCGCAATGTTCGATTGAGGGAACTTGGCGACGCTGTCAGCCCTTGTGAGTAACCGTGATCGCCGAATTGGGTGGTTGTTCGGTACACGGTACACCAGCATAGAAACGTGCTGAATGCGGAGCTCATTAACAGCGGTCTGAAAAATAATGGCTGAAGGACGTGTACGCAAAGCTGGGGTTCCACTCGAACAAAACTACTACTACAGGAGCACTCGCTGCTACGCCTGCGGTCAGCTTGGTCATAGAGCAAACCGGTGCACCACTTCGGCGCTGTAATGTTCTGTTTGTTCCAACCTCGGGACTTCTTCCAACCATAGGGAGGGGAAAATGCGCTTAACCTGCAAAAAGGGAAGTTAGAAAGAGTAAGCCCCATCCCACTTCCTTTAGCGTCACAGCAGCATCGAGCTCCGACTCGGCAATGAAAGTTGCTGAGACGTAAAATACACACCCCTCAAAGTACTTCAGGGTAACCTGAAGTACTTGTACCACTGTCACAATGCGTAACATCTGCTTACGCAGACCATTGTAGAGTGGCTGGTTGCCCATGCAGTAGTAGGGGAACCCTATGTCGTCCTCAACCATTCTCGCTGGTTTGACGACAAATTGGGCTCCGTATCCGTCTACTGGAGGTGCTGATTTTGCTCCACCATGCGTCCTGCTGCAAAGGGGGCAGGCACCCTGGCTATAGTGGGCTACTATGTCTCTCCCAATAGGACCCTCGCCGACTATGTGGACGAGTGACGAATTGCTTGCACGGGTGCTTAACTCGTCCATTGATCACCCTAGGAAAGGAAACTTTAACGCCCATGAAAGGGGCTGGGGATACTCCAGGGATGATCCAAAAGGAGAGATCGTAATGGAGTGGGTGGATGGTCTGAACCTCCGACTTTTAAATCGGGGGTTTGTGAATACAGAGGGAGTCCATTGTGGACCTCAAATGGGCAACTCCTCCTCCAATGCGAATGCTGTCGGGCTGGCGAGTTGCGACGGAGGTGGTTACATTGTCAGACCACCGTAACATCATGTTCGATGTCGCACTTCGCCTCTTTGACATCAATTCGAGTTGTCGAGAGTGCAGATTAGGGCTGAATTAAAATATGTGAACGCGACTAGGCAATATGAGTGTCGAGGTCTTCTCTCTTTTTCTACTTCTTATAACACTGAAAATGTGGTTGTGAGAAAACATATTATTTTGTATATAATGTTAATGTCGTACCATTTCATCTAGAAAAAGTACAATAGTAATTAACCACTGTCTTCGATAGATGGTGCTGTGCAAATGTATTGCAGTAGATGTTTTTTTCATAACTATTGCTGATATTTATATGACTCTTAGGCAAAATAACTCATATAGCAATTTAAACTTTATTATTTAATTCTTAAAATTTATTACTCGTAAAAACGTTGCAATACGGGCTACCAAAGTACTGGAGGGGAGTAGCCATTGTTTTTTCCAATACGGAACTGTCTGCCAATTTTTACGGAGGGAGATCTGCGCACACAAGTGTGTTCTTTTAAAAAAAGGATAATCACAAAATTTTGATCCGATCATTGTTTGGTATTTACGCTGTGAAAAGTCTGGAAGTGAATTTAAAGTGTAAAATCTTAGCGCAGTCTATCGGAAACGGCAGTACAACGTCTGCTGATCCTGCTAGTATAGTTATAACTCAATACGGAATAGAATAACTAATAGAATAGAATACCTTTAATCTTCAATAATTTCAGAAATACCAATGGGTGATTTGGTTGTTGTTCCCGATCGCAGTCCTCGAGATCCTCTCCGGGGCGATATTCTATCTCAGTGAACACGACATGATCCCTACAGCCTTTAAAGTGTTGTACGCGACCCTGTACAAGCCACTGTTTCAGTTGTTAATAGTGACCTTCATCATAAGTTGCGTACTTAAATTAGAATGTAAGTATAGTTCTTGTTAGGTCGGTGGGTGTTCACGCTGTTGCAAGCCTTCGAAAGCTACTCGTAAGTGAGCGCTGAACTGGAAGGCCTCGGTTTTGCGTGACGTTTAATAATGATCATAATCACCCCGAAAAGTCAACAGGACTAACCTGCTTTTTTTAAATGTATTGTATATTAGTACACAATCATCCGAACAACCACTTAAAAGTATAGTATGTTTTAATTACGAGCGTGCCGCCGAACTACACGACAGTCTTAAAATACGATCTCGAAGCAGTGTCCACAGACAAACCAAAAAAACATTTTAATTTTTAAATTTTAATGCCTGAACCGTAGTCATAAACCAATCATAATCTGTCTTCTGATTAGTAGTAGTGCTAAGTTCTTTTTAAAAAATATCGGTTTTATACGTGGTAGAGCCACGCTACAGCTATATTATAGTATAAGCACGAATGGAATGGATGTGAAGGACTCTCACAGAATACCAGCGAAAAATAGCAGCTTAACACTGCTATGTTTCGTATGGTGAGTGTAGACAGTCGGATACCCGTTTTACGGGAATCGACGCATTCCATTTTAGTCCTCAGGGGTGACAAGGGATATGCATTTTAATTTTTAATCGAGATTAAATGTAAATGTCTATGGGCTACAGCCTCTACTTACCATCAGGTTAACTATGTGCTTGATTGTCACCTTTATCCTATAAAAAAAGAAAAAAAGACAAATGAACTAACAGTCAACCTAATAGTAAGTGACCACTGCAGACCGTGGACACTTGCAATCAACTTCAAACAAAGAGTCTATAGATATGTTGTCACCTCTGAGGACTAAGAAATGAAATTCCTCAGTTAATAATTGAACCGTGTTGTGCAGAACAAATCCATCCCACAAACTGGCCAAAATAATAATCAAGAGCCTTTTTTTTAGTTTATTTCCAAGTATGAACGACTTCTGAAACTGAACAAGTGATCCCCAAATGCGTATTAAATTTTTTTTATAGGATAGGGTGACAAACGAGCACACAGTCCACCTGATGGTAAGTGGTTGCTGCGGCCCATAGACATCTACATCTATCCTCGATTACAAATCAAACAAGTCACCCGTGAGGACTAAGATGGAATGCCTCGTTTCCAGTGAAAAGGGTCTCCGGTTCTCTACACTCACCATACGAAATACAGCAACATTAAGCTACTATTTCACGCTGGTATTCTGTGAGAGCGTGGTCCTTCCCCGGTCGAGCCGACCCATTCGTGCTACCACTATACTACTAATATAACTGCAGCACGGCTCTACCACGTATAAATATATACATAACATAATATAATAAGGATTATGCCACAAGAAAAACGTGTGTCTCTTTTTATAGAATTTGGGTCACAAAAGAGTACACGGTCTACCTGATTGTAAGCGAATGCTGTGGCCCATAAACATCTACATCCATCCTTGATTAAGAATTAGGATGCCCTGCGGACTAAGATGGAATGGTTCGTCCCCAATAAAAATGATCTCCGGTTCTCTACACTCACCGTACGAAATATATCAACATCGTGCTGCTTTTTTACCCTGGTATTCTGTGACAGCGTGGACTTACCCTGGTCAAGCCAACCCATCCCAACCTTTATATATATATTACAAAACAATATTAACTTATAATTATATATGTAATCTTATAACTACATTTAATATTCAGAGACAGTTATACCCTGACAATGAAAAACAAATCGCTCTGACAGTGCAGACAGGTACAAAATAAATATAAAAAAGCAAATAGCAACTTAGAAAATAATTTATATTTTTTGGGAAATGGTCCAAATAAGACTGCCACTCAGGAAACACTAAGATGTGTCATCCTAGCCCTGATTTTCACTGGCAACTTTAAGTACATTACACAGTACAGTACACACGTACACACAAATATTACATACATATACATATATTATACACACACATACACTTACACACACGGGCACACATAATATATACTTAATTATTTGGATTATAGATATTACATATTTTTGAATATTCTTTTATATTTACTGTTGGGTCACAACTGCTTTATATTTATGGTGTTGTACCGGATGTTTATGAATGTTCATTCCATTGCGTAACGAGAACTGAGAATACAAAAATTATTAAAATTTCATATAAGAACACATATACACAACAGCAACTCGAGAGATATGCTCAACATACCATATGGAAAGAGAATAATGTAATTAGATTGTAAACTTGTATAAACGTATGAAGGAAAGAAAGAAAGAAGAAAAAAGAAGTGCACATTTTACTTTCTCACTCTTATAGTCCGAGACCACCTGAGAAAAATCAGGCGCAAGACCAACGGTCTTACGTGCTCTCCGAAGTATGGAGGCCAACACACAGCCTCCTCTTTTCTTTCGGGCTGCTACGGAGAAGTTCTGAACAGAAAAACTCAATATCTGTTTTTTCTATAAAGTAATTCTGAGTAGCTAATATTAACCCGGCGTGGGATTCGAACTCATGATCAACAAGCGCGTTTACGACCTTTAGATCAATGAGGCAGACAAACTTTATCTATAATATAGCTGCAGCGGAGTTCTCCTATGTAACAGAAAATCCCTCTTCTCTCTCGGTCTATCTTCTCCTAATTATAATCTTCTGTGTTGCGTTGCAGCATGCTATCGCAAGATCGTGGAGTGGCGCGGCTTCACGTGGGCCGGCCGCCTCTCTTACGGCACACTCTCGTCATAAAAGGCCTGATTGGCTCCCAATCGCACCCTACACACATGACAGATTATTACTTGGTAAGTTCTTTCTGGTTCGTTTAAAATCTTGACGCCGTAAAGCTATGCTGCAACTATAGTTGGAGCATGAATGAGTCGGGTCGACCGGGGTAGGAGCACACTTCCACAGAATACCAGCGTTACATAGCAGCTTAATACTGCTGTATTTCGTATATAGAGTGTAGAGAACTGGATACCGTTTATTGTTAATGATTATTTCTGACTTGATACTTATGAGTGACAAAGTACCTATATAATAAATTATTATATTAACGCGGACTAACTTTGTAGATTTTATCGCGTTTAGTTTTAGTTTTTTAAATCCCCGATGTTATTGATTATGGAATCCAAAGGAAATGGTAGCAACCAGCCATCTTCACTATTGAAACTAAGATCTTTCTTTAAAAACTGCGTGAGAGAAGTCGCTAGGGGGGGACTGACTGTTCAGAATTAAAAAAGTAAAATTAAACACGATTAAATCCGTAAAATTAGTTTTATTTTATGTGTATTATTTTTTATTAATTTATATTATATTTGTTTTAATTTTATTTACTGTTAAAGTGACCTAGAACGAATTTTCATGGAATCATAAATAATAGTTAATAACGCATAAAATTCTATTCATGTAGGGGATTCTTAAGTAGTTGTATAGAATAGTAGCGAAAGATTTTTTCATCATTCAACCTCTAGGTAAATGTTGACGGATTGCGTGTGAGTGTTCACTCATCAACAGTGAAATCCAGTGTTAATCGTGTTAGATCCTTTAAGCCTTCATTTAATAATCAATTTTTATAAAATAAGGAAAGCAACCGAGCACACACTCCACCTGATGAATAAGTGAATGTTGTAGCCATTTCCATCATAATGACGTAGAATTCTTACTAAGAATCATCGCATGTGGCGATAAATGTGTGTTAAGTTTTTCTTAATTGTTTTAGCTACTTAGTTTTAGGTTTGCGTTTCCTGTTAAGTGCTTCTACGTCTAAGTTAATTCGACGTTTTCATAATATCAACAGCTGGTTGTGCTAGCTGGGTCAGTGATGCTGTCGTTCCTGGCGGCGGGCGCGCTGTGGCTGTGCGTGGAGGCGCCAGTGGCCGGCCTCGTGCGAGCCGCGCGCACGCGCACAGGGGGCAGCGGGTGGAGGGGCAATAAATTGTTTTATTAAACGATTTTCATTTCTTTAACTCTTTATTGAATTGTGTTTCTTTCCTATTGTGAGCTTCTTTGTTGATATACTATGTTGAGCTTCAGCACCTCATTGTTGTCAGTGTTTACAGACCACCATGTTCAAAGTGCTTTTGAAAAAATTGTGGAAGAGGTATTAGTTAAGCTTAGTAAACAGAATAAATCTTTTGTAGTATTATACAGAGACTTTAATATCAATCTGCTAGAAGCTTCTTCCTTCAGTACTAAATTTTTCTCATTGTCAAATCTTACAATCTTGATAATTTATTCTTTAAAGCTACATATGTTTTTACGTGGTAGAGCCATGCTGCAGTTATATTAGTAGTACAGTTGTAGCAGAATGGGTAAGCTCGATCGGGAAAGGACCACGCTCTCACAGAATACCAGCGTCAAATAGTAGCTTAATGCTGCTGTGTTTCGTATGGTGAGTGTAGAGAACCGGAGACCCTTATTACTGGAAACGAGGCATTCCGCCTAAGTCCTCACGAATGACAACGCATCTGCATTTTGATTCGTAATCGAGGATAGATGTAGATGTCTATGGGCCACAGCAGCCACTTACCATCAGGTGGACTATGTGCTCGTTTGTCATCCTATCCTATAAAAAACTAAGTTCAATTCACTGTGGACAAATCGTTTCATTATCTTATATGCATCAAAAACAGGAAATTAAGAAAATTCTGTTTGTTCCAATTAATGCAAAACGCATTATGGCATGTAGTAATAATGTGTTTAAAAAAACCTTCAATTGCTTTCTTACAAGAACAATTCACTTTTCACAATTCACTATTCAAACAGAACGTTAATAGCTGTTTAAAATAATTTAGATTTGAAAATGTATTACCTCAAGATATTGTAAAATATTTTAAAACCCTTGATGTATTAAAGAAAACTCCAGATTTATGGGGGATTTTTGTTACAGTTATTGCGTCCATAATATATTTGATTGCACGTCAGTTTGCCATTATTTTAACACTAGTATCGAATCTGGCGTATTTCCTGATTTAACAAAACATAGTAAAGTAATACCTTTATTAAAATCTGATATTACATTGGACCCCGCTAATTTAAGACCTATTTCTGTACTACCCTGAGTAAAAATTTTGAAATAACAATTTTGGATCTATTGTTATTTTTTAATACAAACAAATTACTCCATAAAGATTAATTTGAAACAAGGGGTCGCTCAACAACTGATGCAGGTGTTGAGCTTATGAAGAATATATTCGATGTATGGGAGAATTCACAAGATGCCTTAGGTATTTTTTGTGATCTTTCCAAGGCTTTCTATTACGTTTATCATTAGATATTAATCAGGAAACTGCAACATTACGGTGTCAAAAATATTGCGCTTATTATTCAATGTTTAATTAAAAGAAAAGTCCTTATCAATGGTTAACGTTCCTTCGGATCAATCCGTTCCTTCCTTTCAATTACTGCAGCTTTTAATATTACAAATGCTTATCTTCTTTATCTTTAAATTAGTATAATCTGTATTGTACAGGGCTGCTACTGAAAATTTCTTGACAGAAAAACCCAATGACTTACTTTTCCCCAACAGGGGATTCAAACCCAGAACCTCATGATCGGTAATCGCGTTTATGGTCACTAGACTAAGAGACCGTACCACAAGTTAAATTAAACCTTAACTAAGAGCAGATGGTGAATACATCACACACCTTCGATTTGCCAACAATACATATTATTTTTATAGAATCGCTAGAAGACCTTAGCACTCTGCAATGACTTCGGTAATGTTCCCAACAAATAGATATCTAAATTAACATGGAAAAGATAAAAATTATGTCTGAGAACGCTTCGTTCGAAGTTGTTGACGAGTATTTGTACCTGGTCTGGGACATAATATACGGTTAGGTAAGTGAACTATGCAACCGCACATATCGTCCGATCAGCATTATTCCTTACTAACTTTACCTTAGGGCTTACCCCTATGATATATTACGCTTAGCCAAAAAGCAATGGCAGGACCCGGCAGTAGATAGCGTTTCCGACCGAGAGACCGTATGCAGAGAGAAAGAGCTCCACGGAGGGTTCTACAAGGCTCTGCATGAGCCTTTCGTAGATACAGTCGCCTCCGTCAACTGGCTACGTTTCGGTGACTTCTTCGGGGAAACCGAAGGTTTTGTCAGTGCAATATAGGATCAGGTAATTAAGACCAACAACTATCGAAGATACATCCTAGAAAGTGGCACCGTCGACGTCTGTTGAGCTTGTCGCCATCCCGATGAGTCACTTAGGCATGTTATCTCCGGTTGTTAGGTGCTTTCTAACTCTGAGTACTTGCACAGGCACAACCTAGTAGCCAGCATTGTACACTAGGAGCTCGCTCTGAAATACGGTCTCGTGGATCGGAACTGCCTTATTATAAGTACTCACCGGAAGCCGTGCTCGAAAATGACCGCACCAGGCTCTACTGGGACCGGGCCATCATCACAGACAGGACTGTTCTTGCGAATAAGACCGATATTGTGCTAATGTACCGGGCAAAGTCAGGCAAAGCGGCAGGATCATCGTTCCCCTCACGTTAGGGAGTTTGCAGCAGTTACGGTTCGCGACCACAATAAAAATTACAGCCCAAGGTGCTACGCCTATGGGGAAAGGGACCAACTTCGATCCAGCTGCCCTAAGCGATCTGCAAAAAGGGAAGGTGATCGATCTCGAGAGGGTAGTGCAACCTACAGCACCGCCCAGCAGCAGCAGGAATACGACTTTACTGTCGAAAACTACAGCGGGAAATGGCGAGGCAACACAGATGCATTGTCAAGGAGACCTTATCCTGATGATTGCGAGAACAGTACTAGGCAAGAGGGTAAGGAAGTGGTATCCGTGAGGATGCTCAGGACAGACCACCTCAGCAACAAATGGAAGGACAGCTTACAACGTGCACAGCAGGAAGATCTGGACATCAAGCCGATTCTGCAATGGATGAAGATCAGTGCTCCCAAGCCCAAGTGGAGCGACGTCTCAGCGATGAGTTCGACCACTAAAAACTATTGGGCCTAGTGGGATAGCTTGCTGCTTCAGGATGGAGTTCTGTGCCGTAAATGGGAAAATGTTCGGGGAGACAGCTGTCATTTGCAAATGGTTGTCCCTAAAGCTAAAGTACCGGATATTCTACAGCTGTACCATAATGATTATTCAGGAGGCCATCTGGGAGTTAAACGAACTCTACTGAAGTATATCCGAGAACGGTTTTACTGGGTCCACTGTCGAAACGATGTCGAGGACTGGTGTCGCAAATGTACAAGTTATGCGGCTGTAAAGGGACCTCAGACTCATAGTAGAGGTGCATTGAAGTTGTACAATGTTGGTGCACCATGGTAGAGGATAGTCCTTGACGTTGCGGGGCCGTTTCCGAAATTTGAATGTGGTAACAATTATTTCATGGTTGTGATGGATTACTTCACTAAGTGGCCAGAAGTCTTCGCCATTCTAAATCAAGAAGCTTCAACATTTGCAGATAAACTAGTTCATGAAGTCTTCTGTCGTTTTGGAGTACCTTTAGAGATTCACAGCGATCAAGGAAGGAATTTTGAGTCTCAAATATTCCAGGAAACTTGCCGAGTTATGGATACTCATAAACCAAGAACAACTTCTTATCACTCGAGACGAGCATGTCTTAGGAGGGGGCAGTGTTGCGCGCCTAAGTTGACGTCAGGTACCTGGTACTAGCGCCATCTAGTGTCGGGGACCAGAGCGCGGAGGGCTTCCTAGAAAATGTCAATGTTGAATTTCGACCAACAGCGCCATCTAGTATCGAATCAAAGAACTAAGCTTTCTAGAAGCCCTACACTGGAACTTTCGGCGCCTGGTCGATTGGCGCGCGTATTTACTTGAATATTCTGGATGTTTCGGTGAAAAGGCGTATTTAAACCCGTTGCATGCCACGATCGGGGCAGTATTGCATTTGGCGAGACAAGCGAAGCTTCTGAGCGAAATAAAGTGAATCAATGTGATTATTAGTATTAGTGTCTTTTAAGTAAAGTGAATTAAAGTATAAGTTTTGTTAATTAAATCGGCAGTTTTTATTGTCACGAACCCTAAGCTCGTAATAATATTTTAAGCTAAAATAACACAAAACACTGAAATCAAAACTTTGTTTACCAACAAAATTTTTAACTAAGTAGAATACGATTACATTTCTGTTAGGAATTGTATTTCAAGTTTATTTGTTGTTTACACTATCTACCTTTTCCTTCCGAGCCAAGCGTCGCGATTCCCGACGAATGGCCTTGCAAGTTGCATGCGTTAGGCATCGCAAAACTCACGTAGGTGCGAAAATATGGTCTGTCGATCATAGTCAGAATAGGTATTTCATCTAAGTAACCTAATTAATATGTCGCAATGTATTTTGTTACTCTTTATTGACATCCCTCCATAACAACGGAAAGTCCACTGTAACGTAGGAAAAGGAAAATGTGCAAAGTAATACGGACACTCTCGCGCAGCGATAAAGTTTTATTTAGCTTGCGAGCGCGATTTATCTGATTAATAATAATTATGTAGGCTATTAAACGTCGGCAAGGAGTCAACATTAAAAGAGTGAAACTTCTGTACGTAGTACTATTATTTATTCTGTGCCGATGGTCAAAACTAGGGATGTACTCTTTTTTATTTTAATGAAATGTGAGTTCAATTTTTCAACTTTTATTATATAATTCTCATAGAGTGCATTAGCGTATACCCGAACTCCTATACTTCCTGAAATAACACTCAGTCCTAACTGCAAGACGCAAGAGTCTCGCAGGCTTAGTCTTGTTCTTGCTCAAATCTTGCACGATCAGTCTTGTTCTTGATATTCATAGAGAATATAACGACCACTAGAGAGCGTATAGGCAGATTTCTTCTAAGCACACGACTCACTACTGCGGGCCGGGGGACGAGGAAGAACGCGCGGCTGCAAATGGTCAAGTTGCATTGTTATGGCTATCGTTAGGGTTGCTCTTCTTAATAAAGGAA